CGCCCCCGGCTCGCCGCCGCCGCCACCTCGGCCGTAACCTCCCCGGAGCCTATAGGAATCTTTTGTGTGGCGTCACCGCCTTTCGTTTAAATCCCGCTTCCTCCTCTTGCCCTTCCTCCCGCCCCCTCCGCCGATCCCGGATGCTTGCGCGATGCGCTGCTCCTCCCCCGGGAAGCTGGGGGCCGTGGGAGGACGCCGCGCCCAGCCCCGACGCTGAGGTTCTGGGGCCGGTGGTCCCCGAGTCCAGTGAGGCTGGGAAGCGGGGGGAAGGCCCGCCCTCACTCCGCTCCCCCGCGCTGCGCACACCCTGGGGACACCGGGGCGCCGCCGCGAGTGGCCTTACGTAAGCTCTCAGCCAGCCCCCGGGCTTGCTGCTTCCTCCCCGCCGAGGGAGCGAGTGTAAAAGGTGATCTGTTTTGCTTTCTTGAGGAGGAGGCCACTCACTATCCCCTGTCTTTTTTTTTTTTTTTTTATTTAATGCCCCGGATTCCAGTTCGAGTCTCTGAGATTCGATGACTTTTGCAAGCCCTCCCCTCCCTTTGTTGTGTTCGACTCTTTCCTATGGGTGGGTTTCTGTGAAACAGTGAAAGAACAGGACTGGCGGTCACGCTCAAGTAAGTCCCAAACCCTTCCTGGGGATAGTCTTCCTCCAGCCGATCAGTAGTTGTGTGACCTTGGGCAAGTTCTCTCTCCAAGTCAGGTAGTGTATGGTGACTGTTCCAGCTGGTTAGAACTAGCATGTGCCTTGATCAGCAGTTTGCCCTTTGCTGGCTCCATCTATATAATGGAATAATAGCAGCTATTGTTAAAGTAAGGAGCCAGTCTCTGGAGGTAAACACTGTTATCTCAGGGTTACAGGCTGGGAAACTGGTGGCCTAATTCTCCCCCTCTCCCCCACCTAGGGATTAAACCTAGGACCTTGAACTAGTGTACTTTTACGTATTAATTTTGGAAACAGGGTCTGATTAAGTTTACCAGGCTGGCTTTGGACTTCTGATCCTCCTCCCTCAGCTTCTCAAGTAGTTGGGCTAACAGGCCTGTGCCATTGAGCTCTGTGGCCAGGTGGACTAAGTGACTTCCTAAACTCCTAACCACAACAGATGGCTAGAAGAGGTGTTCCTCCACCCTTACCGGCAGCGGCCACCCGCTTTCTGCCTTCAGGACTTGCCCGCAGGAAACGCCTGGAACACCTGGGCCTGCTCCCAGCAAAGCACTCTCCTCTGAAGAGTCCTAAAGCCTTCTGCTGGTACCCGGCACAGCACAGCTAGGCGTGTTCACCCAATGGAAATGTTTGTTCCTCTGTCTCTTCCTAGGACCTCCACAGACCGTTATAAATGTTATTTATAAGTTCAAATTTATTGACCTTCAAATTTATTGTCCAAACCCCAGTAGTTTGCAGAGTGAACTAATAAACAAGTTATTAATAAGTTAACGAAGAACAACAGATACAAACCTGGATGGATAGTCATCCTACTCATAACCAAAAAATACCCTTACAGATCGTCTAGATTCTACGTGAACCAACTTTCTCTGTAAACTGAAGCCAGTAAAACCAATGGTTCTCTAAACAAGTAGTGATTCTGTGGGGTTTTTCCTTCGTATTTTTCTACAAGGGAAAAGCAGAGCAGACTCTTTCCATGCTAACTCAGGAATAGCAGTTAGTCCTAAGGAGTAGTTGCCTTAGCTCCAAACTCTTCAGAGAAGGGCCAGCAAGATGGCTTAGCAGGCAAAAGTACCTGCTACTAAGCCTAACAATTTGATGTTAGTCCCCTGGATCTGCATGTAAAAAGAATCATCTCCTACACATTGTTCTCTGATCACTACACAGTGACATTCACACAAATGGACGTGCATACACACACACTAAATACATTAACAAAAATTAATGAAAATTAAAAAGCCAAAGAGAAGTCAAATCTTTTCCCTTGTGCTTACTTTATTCCAGGAAGCCGTGGGATCAGATTATTTTCCCCAAACACAGTTGTTGCCCCTGGAGTCCAGTTTCCCTTTTCTTCTATTGCTGCTAGAAGCCTCTTGTCCCCAGTATATTGCACATCGACTACCCCCACTGGGTTTGTATCATAGAATTGGGCTTAGCCGTGCAATTTGGTGGGCTAAATTTTTGGCCTTCCAGGCTTCGTTTTTCAGATAGTGCCACTCTTCCTAAACTGATCTTGCCAGGTTCCACCTTCACCTGCCTTTTTGGTTCTTTTTCTTTTTTCCTCCTGCCACTGTTTACTCATGGCTCAAATTCTGAGCATCCATCATGTGCCAGCCCCTGTTCAAGGCACTGAGCTGACATAATAGATTGTAATAGGCAGTCTCTGCCTGTGAAGATTAGAGTCCAGGAAGGGCAAGTTCACAAACAAGTGCCCTCATTTACTGTTTGTACAGTAAAAGCACGGAACAAAATGGACATCAGATCCAGTACTGCACACCAAGTTTTTCAGTCAAGTTGGTGCATTCTGACCAATGCTAGGAAAGTAGCATTTGGACTTGCAGGCCAAAGCAGGGGAAATCAAATCTAAAAACTCTTGCTCTTTCCCACCTTGTTGTAACTGGAGGGACTGTGCCCAGAAACATCCATCTTCAGAGATGTTTCATCTTCTGTGACACTCTACCCGTGAGATAACATCCCTTTAGTCTCCCTCCTAGTCCCTGACCATCAGCAACTTCTATGAGCTTGATTATTTGAAGTGCTCTTGTTCTTTAGTTCATTTAGCATAAAGTCATTAAGGTTAATCAATGCTATAACGTATCAGAATTTCCTTTTTAGGGGAAATAATATTCACCTGTATGTACTTTGGACATTCATACCCAAGTTTCTTTTTTCTTTCTTTTCTTTCTTTTTTTTTCTGGGACAGGGTTTCTCTGTATTGCTTTCTGGAACCCTCTTTGTAGACCAGGCTGGCTTCAAACTCACAGAGATCCGCCTGCCTCTGCCTCCCAAGTGCTGGAATTAAAGGCATAAGCCACCAATGCCCTGCAAATTTCATGTTATTCCCCAAAATTTGTGGGCTAGCAACCAAGTTGTCTGTGGTACACAGTGCCACCCAGTGGTTGCTAAGGAGCGGTGTTGGCTATAGTTTCCCTTTGGAGCTGTGTTTCTTGGTTTTATGTTTGTACTTACGGGTACACAGTGATCTCAGCTGATCTTTCTTACGAAATTGTAGACATCACAGTCTATTCTTATTCTGTGAGCATAGCTCTTGGCTGGTGTGGTGGTGCACACTAGCAATTGGGATGTAGAAGCAGGTGGATCAGGAGTTCATGATCATCTGCAGCTAGGTAGGGAGTTTAAAGCAAACCTGGGCTAGGTGAGACCTAGCCTAGAAACAACAAACAATACCTCTCTTGGAGAAGAACAATTTACAACTGAAGAATGTGTTCCCATCCTTTTTTTCATCACAGTTGATGCGAAAGAGCCCCTCGCTGGCTAGGGTGCAGAATCTCCAGGGAATAGGCCAGCCTCCTTACTGGGTGTATTCTCTCGCCCTCTGGCACATTGTAATCCTGGCCGGTAGCATATGTGGGAAAAACTTTGGTCTTCAGTCTCTCGTCTTTCTTGTTGCTTCTGCTGTAGTGATCAAGGAAGCTGTGTACAGGTCCACAGATCCTTTGGCAGGAATGCTTGAACCTTCAGCTTCCAGTATCCAAAAGAGTAGGGATTTCCTCCAAGTGTTTCCCAGGGTATCCTACATGTCTAAGGTTGCTTGCATGGGCCAATGATTCATAGCCTATTCCTCTACTGACCAGTAAGAGAAAAGATGAATTCCAGGATTTAGAGATCACAGACAGCTAATACCACCATTCCTGGACAGGATGCCTGATGGTTAGTACCTATAGATTAACTAGGACTATTGCTGCCTCACACAGGACTTCTCTGGGCCTTTAAATACATTTGGGCATGTCTTTCCCTTATTTCCACTGTGCTGTCTGCCCAGCCTGGGTGAGACCATTGCCATGCTGTTTGAGACTACTGGCCTAGCTCCCTCAACAGCCCTGTCAACCTATGAAGAACAGAGCTGGTATCTATTCTCCTCCACATCTGATGCCTTCCATAGTCATTAGCTGCTGTTGATGGAATTCACTGATGACTCTGCCATTCATTTCTCAAATGTTTTGGGTGTCGCTCATGCACATTTTCAGGTAGTACTAGAAACTCTACCAATACCTCTCTACCTACTTCCTGTGGAGGACACAGGCCAGCATGAGCCCAGGCTCATACTCTCACTAAACCCAAGATGCATTTGGAGGTAGGGTAAGTATACAACCCAGAGTCTGGCCCCTCATTTAGGCCATGAACACAATCTCAAGTCTGGCCCCTCTTCTCCAATTCTATGTTGTTCTGCCTCAGACCTGTGTCAGACCTTGGATTCCAGTGCAATCTGAGTGTTTCTTGGCTCCAGATTTTGCAATCTATTTCTATATTGCTCTTAGTGTTACTGTGCTAAAAGCCTCACTGGCTAACCCAAATGGTGCCGTGGTAGAAGAAGGACACCAAGGAAGAATATGTCCTGTATTCCTGGGTCCAGATTTTTGTCTCCATGTCTATCCTAGCTACTTGAGCTGGGGCTGCGGCTAGGGCTGGGGAGATGGTTTAGTGGGTAAAGCACTTGCTGAGCAAATATGGGTCAGCCCTTAAGGAGACAGAAGTGGAAATCTTTGTAGTAAGCCAGCCTGCCAGACTAGCAGAAATGGCAAGATCCAGGTTTAAAGAGAAGACTCTGCCTCAATGTATAAAGTGGAAAGCAATGAAGGGAGACTCTAGATGTTAACCTCTGGCCTTCACTCGAATACAACACACACACACACACACACACACACACACACACACACACACGAAGAAGAAGAAGAAGAAGAAGAAGAAGAAGAAGAAGAAGAAGCAGCAGCAGCAGTGACATTTATCAGGGCATGATCCCTTTAGCCCCTCCTGGAATCTGTGTGTAATTAATGGTAGATGGCTTATCTCCTCTGCTAGTGCCAAGCCTCCGATACTATCCTGAGGACCGCAGGTTCACCTTCCTGTGTGTCTTCCTGACTGTCTTACAATAAGTCACTGGCAAACTAGGTCCTTCAGAGTTGAACTGGTCCAAGTTCCAAAACACCAAAATATACTTAAAGTATCAAAGTGTTGAAAATGTAGTTGCTCCAGATGTTTTTACATCAGTAGAGTGGGAGCCAGATGGGTTTCCTCCTCAGATGACAGTCAGTAGCCCTGGAACTTCTGACTTGTTTCTACAATTGCAGTACAACACTAAGAAAAACTTTTATTCTCTGTAACTAGATATTGTGGGCCAAGAAAACCAGCATTTTTTTTTTTTAACCTTACCTTGGCAGTTGGCAAATGAATGACCATGGTGACCCCGCCCTGCAGAGCACATGATCAGCCACAGCTGTGCATGTTTTTTAGGATGACTGTGCCAGGACAGAGCTCCAAGCCACTGGGTGGAGCAATGTGCCCCTGGGAGAAGGCTCATGACATTTCCCCTATGATTTCAGAAAAGAAAAAAATTCCTCTTTTTTGCTTATGAGTTGTTTCTGCACAATGTCAACAGAAAATTTCCTTGTGTTTATGCATGTCCACGCATGAATGTGGAAAATGTCAGCCTCTGCTACAGCGGGATAAATACACACCACATTTGACCTCAGAGTGAAGGTCAATAAGACACATACCACTAGTTAGCTGCTTTCTTAACCTCCGCTTTTTGCTTTTCCCTTCATAACAAGTCTAATTGTATTTGGGCTGGTAACAAATCCAACCAAATGACAATTCCTCAGCTCCTCTCAGCGAGGTAGACTCCAGCCAATGAGACCAGAAGTGCTGTGCACAATTCCCAAATAGGATGCTTCACATAAATTGATCCCTCCCTTCAGCTTGGCCTCTTCCCATTTCTTTTGCTGGGAATGCCATCTGACGGCTGGAGCACCAAGAGCCATCCTGGAACTTCTGATGGCCTTGAAGATGGAAACTCCAGACCAGTGTGATGAGGCAGTATGGGGAAGACGTCTGGATGGCCAGGACACCCTAACACACTCGGTTCCCACCTACTTCTGTGAAAGAAATATCAGTTGAAAGAAATACTTTTGCTTCAACATTTTGTAAAAGGTTTGATTATATGAAACTTATTAATATCTATCTAAAGCACAGAGCAAGAAGGGGGGAAAGTTGTAATAATGCCATGAGTAGAGAAACAAACAACAAACCACTTAATCACAATAGTGAAGAATACTATATAATGGGTGTTGTGGCCCAGGTCTTTAATCACATCACTTGGGGGGCAAAGTTAGGTGCCTCTCTGAGTTGGAGGCCAGCCTGGTCTACAGAGTGAGTCCCAGAACAGCCAGGGACTATACAGAGAAACCCTGTCTTAGAAAACAAAACTATACAACAGCAAAGACATGAAGCACTCAAGGACTCCAGTATGCTATCACTTGGGGGGCAAAGTTAGGTGCCTCTCTGAGTTGGAGGCCAGCCTGGTCTACAGAGTGAGTCCCAGTTGGGGGGCAAAGTCAGGTGCCTCTCTGAGTTGGAGGCCAGCCTGGTCTACAGAGTGAGTCCCAGCACAGGACTATACAGAGAAACCCTGTCTTAGAAAATAAAACTATACAACAGCAAAGACATGAAGCACTCAAGGACTCCAGTATGCTTAGTAATTCATAAGATATGCTGACACAAACATTGAAAACCATTCTTGAGATACTTTCACGTTTGGAAACATAGAAATGAATTATATGTACATGTGACACCTTGGGGTAGGTAAAACTATATTATGTTTGAATATTGTCCAACTATACCAAGGTTTCATGTCTTATTATATAATTTGAAATTTTAAAGAAATCAGATATGCCACTTAAAGCTTATGAAACTTCAAGGTTTCTCTGACCCTAAATATTTTCTTTTTATTTATGAAAAGCTTAGTGGTCAAAAATCTTATAAAATAAAAAACAAAATTACTGTGATTTTGTCTTAAAGACTTAAAGACTCTTTTTGTCTTAAAGAGTAGAACCACAGTAGTAAATGGAAATCACAAGAGACTGGAACTGTTATTTTTGGTTTTTCAATACAGGGTTTCTTTGTGTAGCGTTGGCTGTCCTGAACGAGCTCTGTAGACGAGGGTGGCCTAGATCTCAGAGTTCTGCCTGCCTCTGCCTCCCAAGTGCTGGGATCACCACTGCCTGGTTGAGAATGGAACGATTTTAAACAATTACAAAATGGCTATGAATTAATAATTGAAATTTTTTTCAAGGTTTGTTGACAGTGATAATGAAAGAAGGGTGGGTTGAATCTTCTGTGGAGCGGAATGACAATAGATCCTTTATTTACAGACTTCGAGAAAAGTTGCCCTGGCTGTCCTTAGCCTTTTAGCTGTAAGTTCTCATGAGAACTCTGGAGGCTGAAAGTCCACACCCTGAAAAGGGCCTCATTAGGGCCAAGGCAGTTTGCGTATCTTCCACTCTCATTCATTTCACAGGCAAAAAGCTGAGGCTTCAAGGGCGCTGTTTGGCAGTTTCTGCAGGCCTTGAGGGAACTTTCTGATCTGGCTTGTGAATGAGAGACAAAGAGGCTGACTTCTAACAAAACCCTCCAAATCGTAAAAGCACAGTCCTGCAAGACCAACCTAGGGTAGACCCTTTGGCCAGGCCAACGGGAGGAGCCCGTGGGGCGGAGCCTGGGTGAGGGGGAGGAGCCAGTGGGGTGAAACCAGGAGACGAA